GGCAGTCAGTTCTTTTTTTTTTTTTGGTTTTTCGAGACAGGGTTTCTCTGTGGTTTTGGAGCCTGTCCTGGAACTAGCTCCTGTAGACCAGACTGGTCTCGAACTCACAGAGATCCACCTGCCTCTTCCTCCCAAGTGCTGGGATTAAAGGCGTGCGCCACTACTTCCTGGTTTTTTTTTTTTTTTTTTTTTTTTTTTTTTTTGGGCAGTCAGTTCTTAACTAGCCTCTGAGTCTCCCTCTTCAGTGATCCTCACCTTTCCCAACGCTGCAACCCTTTAGTACAGTTCCTCATGTTGTGGTGACCCCAACCTTAAAATTGTTTTTGTTGCTACTTCATAACTGTAATTTTGCTACTGCTATAAATTTTAAAGTAAATGAGGGATAGGTGATGCCATGAAAGGGTCGTTTGACCCCCCCACAGGTGTCATGCCCCACAGGTTGAGAACTGCTGCTTAAGGAAGGCCCTGCCCCTAAGTTGTTCTTTTAAAATGATTTGTGCATTTACTTTGCTTGGATGACATTTCTCTGCATGTGTGCCGGCTCTCTACCTGCACACCTGACTCCCACGGGGAAGAGGAGGGTGTCCAATCTCCTGGAATTGGAGTTACAGACAGTTGTGAGCTGCCATTAGCTGCTGGGACTCAAACCTGAGTCTTCTGGAAGAGCAGCCAGTGTTCTTAACCATGGCATGGACCTAAATTCTTGAAAAAGTAATGGAGTTGAGTTGGGCCTGAAGGCATCCATTCAGGGGCTGAGGCAAAAGCCCCTTCAGTTCCAGCGCAGTTTCAACTACAGAAGGATCTGTCTGAAAGAAAAGACCTGGACAAATAAGTAGACACATTTTAGTTCCATCCAAATCTGTGGCTACAGAGTGTTGAGGACAGAGCTAGCACCAGGGCATAGCGAGAGCCCTCGATTGCTTCCTATTGCTGTGATGAAATGTTGACCTAAAGCCACTGGGGGAGCAGGGAAAGGTGGCTCCCATTGCGCATGCAGCCTGCTTTCTTGACCACTTGTCCAAGGGTGAAGCCTCCCACAGTGGACTGGGAGCTCTCACACCAATCACTCAACAGGAAACCACTCCACAGACTCCACAGACTCCACAGACTCCACAGGCTCCACAGGCTCCACAGACTCCACAGACTCCACAGGCTCCACAGACTCCACAGGCTCCACAGACTTGCCTACAGATCACTCTGATGGAGGCCTGTTCTCAGTGGAGGCTCTCTCATTCCAATGACCCAGTTTGTGTCAACGACAAGAGACCAGTACAATTGTCCTTGCCAACCTGACACACAGACACATCAGTAGTAAACCATAATCTCTCCCCAAGATCTCATGTTGATGTTACAGTATAAAACACAGTCCAACTTTTAGAAGACCCCCAGTCTTTAGAAATTCCATCACTTAGTAAGCATAGTGGCACACGCTTTAATTCCAGCACTTGGGAAGCAGCAGGCAGATCTCTGTGAGTTTAAATTCAGGGTGAGTCTCAGGTCTTATAAGTCTTATAGTGAGACCCTGTCTCAGAAAACAAACAAAAATTCCGTCACTTAAAAGTCCAACCACTCTGGGGCTGGAGAGATGGCTCAGCAGTTGAGAGCACTGGCTGCTCTTCCAGAGGACCTGGGCTTAACTCCCACCATCCACTTGGCAGCTCACAATTGTCTGTGACTCTAGTTCCATGGGATCTGGCACCCTTACACCAATTTAGTTTTTAATAAATTATTTAGTGTGTTTTTAGTTAAACCACTGTTTAAATTATCCAAGCTGTGGCTTCTGTAAAACTAGAACTAAATTAAACATTTTTTACTCCAGACACAAAGTAGAACAGAACCAAATTCCCACAGTGTACCTCAGTGTCCCAATCTGGGATCCACTCACGACCTGGGCTTTAAAGGGCTTGCCACACGCAGTGTCTCAGCCCATGTTGGTTGTGCTCCGCTCCCAGCCTCAGACATGGAGGGCTCTCTGCCTTCAACTGTGGCCTTTTATCAGCTGCTGCCCACAGCCCCTTCATGCCTACAAACCCGGTGCCACACGGGAGGGGACCCTCTCTGGACTACAGCTTCTGTGTCCTGACCCTGAGGAAGACTTGCAGGAAGTCTTCACTGCCACGATGTTGGTCTCCATCACAGCGCACCAGAAGCTGTCAATCTCACCAGGCAAGAATCAGACCACTAACACAACTTTGGAGCCAAATTTGAAGCAAACTTTATTCAATACCATCCAGGACAATGGCCATTGGCCAGGTCCATACTGGGGGTTCCCAGAGATAGTCACAAATCACGTTAGTTGGATGCTTATACAGGCAAACCCTGCAAGGCTACATGCTTGGGGGCAAGCACACATCCTGATGGACAGCCTGCCTAGCGTGAGCGGCACAGCCTGTGCAACTGGGACAACAACCTTGTTCACGGACGTGAGGACACATGGTGTCTCATGTGAACAACCAGCCCCGGTGGGACGCAGAGGTTAGAGGTGTCTGTTTTATGGATCATATGATTTATGAGCACAGTAATTAAAACTTAAGCCATAGCTTTAGCTCTCACACGGCCTCATTACAGCTCTGAGTCGCCGCTTCCTAAGCCTCTGTCACGGTGGAAGTGACGGCAGCAAGCCCTATGGTAGCCAGAGCGGAAAGCTGGGGTTCACACCCTCAACTCCAGAGAGCAAACTTCACAGTGGGCGAGGCCTAAAGATCTCAAAGACTTCCTCCTGAAAAGCTGCACTGTGTGTGTGTGTGTGTGTGTGTGTGTGTGTGTGTGTGTGTGTGTATGGTTTTTGGACAGGGTTCCTCTGTGTAGCCCTGGGTGTCCTGGAACTCACTGTGTAGACCACGCTGGCCTTGAACTCTGCCTCTTGCCTGCAGGGATTAAAGGTGTGCTCCACCACTGTTTGGTAAAAAGCTCCACGTTTTAATCCTCCCAGACAGCGCCACCAGCTGAGGAGCCTGTGGGACACATTCTCACTGTAAGCACCATATCTATCAAGAGGCCTGGGACTTGTGTGAAGTCTCTGCCAGGGCTGTGACCAGCCGAGGAAGAGGACTGCCTGAGCCCACAGGTGGAAGCTAGTTTGTCTTGTTCTGATGTAGGCAAAACCTCAAAATCAAAGTGGAAACCAGGCGGTGGTGGCGCACGCCTTTAATCCCAGGCCTCAGGAGGCAGAGGCAGGCGGATCTCTGGAAGTTCCAGGCCAGCCTGGTTTACAGAGTGAGTTCCAGGACAGGCTCCATAGCTACTAAGAAATCCTATCTTGAAAAACCAGAACCAGGGGCTGGAGAGATGGCTCAGAGGTTAAGAGCATTGCCTGCTCTTCCAAAGGTCCTGAGTTCAATTCCCAGCAGCCACATGGTGGCTCACAACCATCTGTAATGAGGTCTGGTGCCCTCTTCTGGCCTGCAGACATACACACAGACAATATTATATACATAATAAATAAATAAACAAATAAATATTAAAAAAAAAAAGAAAAACCAGAACCAAACAAACAAAAAATTCAAGTGGAACAGCTTGCCTGGGAGACTGTCACACTGAGAATCAGTGAGCTTCAGGCTTACAGCTCAAACTGGTGTTTTTATTAAATGGGGTTCAGGGTAGGGTTGCATGTGCTGAGACATAAAGGGTCTGTTGGGAGTCTCATTTGGGGTGTGTTGAAGTTAGTGTGGGCTGTGAGGTCTGTGAAAACATGGTAGGGTATATTGAGGATGCTTCTAGAACATTCCAGGGGCTTCTACAAGGCTTAAGAGGGAGAGTCAAACAAATCGGAAACCAGGAGGGGCTCTCTCGCTGCAGAACTCATATATATTGAAATGTTTGCAAATGCAGCTCCCAGGGTTCTGCACCTCTGGAGACACAGGAAGTCCGTGGTACATCCCAAGAGCACAAACCACAGAGGGGAACACCAGGAGGGGAAGGGCAGAAACGACTGGGATCATCCCTTCTTGAGGAAACCTCAGTCTGGCCAGAACTCCTCCTGCAAGAATTGCTTAGGCACCAGGCTGCTATTCTTTGAGAGTCAGAGAGAATGAAACTTAACTGTATAAATTAAAAAACCCTAGCGCCTAGCTCGGTGGGCCAGGCCTCTCTAGTCATTCCAGCATGAGGGAAGCAGAGGTAGGTGATCTCTATGAGTTTGAGGCCAACCTGCGCTACAAAGGGAGTTCCAGCCTAGCTGTGGCCACAGAAAGGGACCCTATCTCTAAAACAAAAACAAACAAACAAACAAAAAAAACCCAAAAAACCAAAACTCCCCATAACTGGGTCTTGGGAACAGCTCGGCTGTAGAGCACATGCCCAGCGTGGCCAAGGTCTGCCTTCCATCCCAGCACTGGTGAACCCTCAAACCTTTCTCAGAAATTCTGAAGGGGGTACGGCAGGCACACAGGACCGCAGCAGAGATAGCCTGAGGGGGAGACAGGGAGCAAACCTCTCAGTGCTGCTTGGCAGGGACCCTGACCAATTCTACCTGGGAGGAAGAGGGGCCCCACGGAGGTGGAAGTAGGGGAAAGGAAGCATGTGATTCCCAAACTAATTTGTTCTGACTTCCGGTTCCCAGGAAGCCGCTGAGGAATGGCCTGGTGAAGGACAAGCTCTTCTGAGTCCCTGTCCTCAATTCTGCCACCCAGGACTCCCTCCCGTCCTACCTGGGAGACTGACCCCGCCCCTGGAGACTCCGCCCAGTGCCTGGAGATCTGCTCCCAAACTTGGGGAGCTGGCCCCGCCTTTGGAGGCAAGGCCTTGCTCCCAGGACGCCGGCCCCACCCTAAAATGCAGGATGAGATACTTCTCCAGGGACCCCGGCCGCCAGCAGCTCTGCCCTCTGGGTCAACTCTAGACCACCCACCTTGGGACCGCCGCCCAGTCCTGCCCTCCAGAACAGTGGGGTTCGGACACGCCCCCTCTAGGACCGCAAAGGCCCCCGGACCTGCGGCCACCAGCCCACTGGTCCCGGACGCAGTGGACCCCGCTGACTCTCTTGTACACAACCTGGGAGGAAAATGCTCCCTGTCCGCCGCCGCCCTGGTGGCCACCTCCTCTTTCTGCTCCTGTTCCTGCTGCCCTCAATGCCTCCTGCCCGCGCACCAGCACCCTCGGGCCCCGCCGCTGCCGCCCTGCTCCAGGCTCTCGGGGTGCACGAAGTGCCCCGGGGCGTCCCCACGCCCCGGCCTGTGCCTCCTGTCATGTGGCGCCTGTTTCGCCGCCGCGACCCCAGGGAGGCCAGAGCTGGGTACCCTCTGCGACCGTGCCACGTGGAGGAACTGGGGGTCGCCGGAAACATCGTGCGCCACATCCCGGACAGCGGTAAGTGGGGGTTTTGTGGTGGGGCAAGGGCCGTGAGGCCGAGGCCCAAGGCGCCCAGTCCAGCCTGCTAGCGAGCTGGGACCCTGTTTTCTCGTCCCCTGGGCGCAAGGGCTTCCCAAGACCAGGCCCCTACCTCACACCCTTTGATGCCTTCCTTCGGGTCATTTTCCAGGGGCCCCAGGTGCTGGTTGGCTCATCTCCATCTGCCCAAGTCTCCAAGTGCAGGCACGGCACCCCACAGTGTCTCTTCTTTGCATCTGGCGCCCTGCCCCCACCCATCCGTCATTAGTGCCCTGCAGATGCGCCCCTGCCTCTTTTTGCTCCCCTTGCTCCTCGTTCCAGCCCATTGGCTGGGGTGCCATGCTATGTCCGCTCTCTCCTTGCCCTTTCAGGTCTGTTCTCCAGATCCCCAGGGCCCACCAGAACCTTGGGGCTGTGCCCCAAGTGGACTGTCACCTTCAATTTGTCGGGCGTGGAGCCTGCCGAGCACCCAACACGTGCGCGTCTGGAGTTGCGCCTGGAGGCTGAGAACGAAGATACGCACGGGTGGGAGCTAAGCGTGGCACTGTTGGCCAAGCATCCCGGGCCTGAGCTGCTGCGCATGCCTGTGGCACCGGGGCTGCTAGTACGCGCAGACCTACTGGGGGCCGCGGTAGCCGCTAACGCATCGATGCCCCGCACCCTGCGCCTGGCACTGGCGCTGCACCGTGGAGCCACCACCGTCTGCGCGCGGCTGGCCGAGGCCTCGCTGCTGCTGGTGACGTTAGACGCGCGCCTGTGTCCCCCGCCGCGGTTGCGGCGCCACTCCGAGCCTGGGGTGGGAGGTGGTCCAGGGGGCGCGTGTCGCACACGGCGGTTGCACGTGAGCTTCCGGGAGGTGGGCTGGCACCGCTGGGTGATTGCACCTCGCGGCTTCCTGGCCAACTTCTGCCAGGGCGCGTGCACGCTGCCTGAAGCGCTACAGGGACCCGGTGGGCCGCCCGTACTCAACCACGCCGTGCTGCATGCGCTCATGCAAGCGGCCGCCCCTACTCAGGGCGCGGGCCCGCCCTGCTGCGTGCCCGCACGCCTGTCGCCCATCTCCGTGCTCTTCTTCGACAACAGCGATAATGTGGTGTTGCGACACTACGAGGACATGGTGGTGGACGAGTGTGGCTGCCGCTAACTACCCAGGACACCCTTGCAGGGACGGCCCCACGCGAAAGCAAGGACCATTTGTTCATGTTTTATTGGTGACAAAAAGCTTAAAACAAATTTGACCAAAAATTAAGTTCCATTGCGTTGGCGCAGGTGTGCCTGGGTAGGGGTCGGGTGGCCGCTGCGGGAGGTTGGGGGGCCGTGGCAGGGCGCCCAGCAATGAGACCTCCACCCACGACGGGGAAGAACCCGAGGGCCGTCACGCATTGGTCACGCTCAGGAGTTTGCCTGCGGCCTCTGAAGCTCAAACGCAAAACAAATCCTCTGGCCATGGTGCAGGCGGTGATCCCAGGCTGCGGGGCTCAGGCTTCTTAGCGCGGCCTCTTCTTGCATCTCCCAGGTCCACCACTAAGGTCTTAGAGACAACTGATCAAAGTACTTCCCATACTCCTTTGAAAGAATTCTTGAAAAAAAAAAAAAAAAAGAAAACAAACAAACAAAACAAAAAACCAAAACAAAAAACCCAAACACCATATTTTCTTTAAATGAAACAAACCCCTTTGCGCTGGGACCGCGCCATGACGCTCCTGGCCGCCCGCTCGGGCACAGAAACGCTAAGTTCGTCCTGCTAAAACATAGCCCCTCAAATCACGAGAAACAAAGAAAAAGAACAGCGGGCTGGTCCTGGCGAGGCCTCTCCCTCTGGCGGGCTCGGCGCCGGGCCGGCCTCGTAGCGGTGCGGGCCTCTCTCCTCTCGCCGCCCGCAGGGGGCGCCCGCTCCTCGGCGCTCCACTCCGTCGTCCTCCCTGGCCGCTCTCTGCTCGCTCTCGCTCCTCTCTCCTCTCCTCGGCTGCTCACACAGTGGTGCTTCAGTTTTAGCAGTGGAAAACAGGTATCCATTTATTTTTATTTTTTATTACCCAGAATAAGATGCTGATAGACTAAGCCACATAGCTTAGCTCTTTCGCCGCCACCTGTAATCAGGGACAGGAGTGAGGGGTGTCACGGCCGAGCAGAAGCAGAACTGCCCACACCCCACATTCATCTGCACTTGTTACGGGGGTTGAGCCCACTAGGGCACTTGCCTTCTAGTACTGGGACAGCCCGGTGACCCCGCCGTGCTGGTATGCCCGCTCTCCCTGGTAAGTGGAGTCTTGCGAGAGTGCCACGTCAATCTGTGACTTAAACTCATCACCGAGGTAGCTGTCCTGAAAGGCAAAGCTAGAGTGAGCAAGGCAGGACCCCCACCAGCCCACACTCACCCAGCCCTCAAACTCTGCAGTCTGGGAAGAAACCCCATACTGCGGCAGGGGGACAGGCCCAGGGCCCAGTCCAGGCAGGGTCATCCACCCTTCTGAAAGGCAGCACAGCACCATGGCCGTGTGGCGGCTGAGGGCCCACCTGGGACAGCTCTGGCTGGGAAAGGCCGGGCTGGCTCATCTGGGAGGGCTGGCTCATGGACACGTAGCCCTGGGTGAGGGCGCCCTGCGAGAAGGGCTGTGAGGCCACATCCTGGCTGGCCTGGCTGTTGGGAAGGGTGGTCTGGCTGGGCCCTGGAAGCCCAAAGCGATTCTTCTGGCGGCCTCCACGGCCAGTCTTGCTTTTTGGGGTGCCCCGGCCTGAAAGACAGCAGTGAAAGACAGCACGCTCCACCTGAAAGCCGGGTTCAGATGAGGGCAGGGCAGGGAAAGGCCATTACCAGCAGCTGGCCCGTTGGCCTGTCCAAAGTACCCAGGTGGTGGCATGGGAGGCATGACCAGGTTGAAGGGAATGGGGATGTTCATGGCGGCCACATGGCTGGGACCCGCACTGATCATGCCAATCTGGTCGTGGGTCTGGAAGTACATGTTTGAGGGCCGGCCTGCAAGATACCAGGGGTCAGAGGCAGGGCCCCAGCGGGAAATGCTGCAGTGGTAGCTGCTAGGCCAGTCAAGCAGACCAGCAGACGGGGGCTGAGTATCTACCATACAGGGTGCTAGTAGAGGGTAAGAAACTGAGAGGTAGGCGAGACTCTGTCCATAATGAGTTTCTAGGCAACTCAGAATCTTCCAGAAAACAAGAGGCCAGTCTGGCTGAGGTACACACAGGCTTGCCTCAGGGCACACAGGGCAGTAGTACTCAGCAGCTGACTGCAGAGAGGTGGCCCCTGTGGCACCAGAGAGACAGTGGTACAAATCACTAGCAGAGGCCAGTGTAGCTCTGGGGGTCTTAGAAGGGGCCCCAAGGGCCTACTTGGAGAAGCCACATCGACCAATTGGGAAAGCTCCAAATGGAGGTCAAGGACTGAGTCTGGGAGGCCACCCAGGGGGTGACAGGTCCAGACTGGGACATGGGAAGGTCAACACACTGGTGGTTGCCAGGAAAACTTACCCTGGCTACTGCGGTCATAGACAGATCCAGGGATGATGGCCTCGCGGGCATCATACATGGCTGTAGTCATGAAGCGGGCCCCCTGCAGGGTGGCACAAGAGCGAGGAATGTGTCAGTCAACAGCAGCAGGGGCTAAGAGCTCCCAGCTTTCCCAGGCCCTGGGCCAGCCCATCGGCCCACCGGGTTGACGGTGTTGACGAGCTTGCGAGGCTTGCTGAACTGCATGAGGCTCTCACGCAGGTTGTTGAGTGGCCCTTCCACCAGCGCCTTCTGCTCCTTGTAGTAGCTCAACAGGTGATTCCACAGTGGCTGCTTCGACAGTGCCTTTGGGTTACCCACAATGATCACACCATATCTGCAGGGCAACAGACATGCTAAGAGCTTAGGGCTACACCCACATGACTGCAGTGTCTAGGGCTAGCACCTTGAATATTAAGAGCAGGTGCCAAGAACCCAACATTGGTCAACAAATGAGGAAGCACCTTAAAAAGCTGAGCATTTGGAATCAATCATGACCCAAGCAGAAAAAGGACACACCAGGTCTGAGTGCACTCCCAGGACAGACGTGGAGAATAGGGCAAAGGAAGGGCTTCTTGTTCCTGTCTGGAGGAAGGAAGCAATGGGCAGCTGCCTACCTGGCTCTGGTGAGGGCCACATTGAGACGCCGGGGGTCGTTCAGGAACCCAATGCCCTGGTGCTCGTTGGCACGCACACAGGACAGGATGATGAAGTCCTTCTCCCGGCCCTGGAAGGCGTCCACACTGGCAATCTCCACTTCCTGAAGGAGACAATGCCCTGTCAGCCACAGTCCTGCCTTGCCATGGAGAAGTGGAGACTGCATGGGCTGCATGGTGACAATCCCTGGCCCTGGTACAACCAACATAAAATCACCAGAGCTCCTCCTCTGCCACATGTTCAGGACACGGCTGAGCTTCTGTTAGGGTGGCACCAGCTGTCCTGCTCTCTTACAAAGTCTTACTGTGTAGCCCTGGCAGTCCTGGGCTCACTCTGCACTTCTGTGCCGGCAGGGTGCTGACATCAAAGGCAGCACTCACCACACACCCTTTCCACTCTCACCTCCAGCAGTCCAGAAGCTGCTCTGACCTGCAGCACATCAGGCAGCCCCAAACATGATGTGGTCATGTGCTTGCTCCTCGCCGCTCAACACACCAGGGCACATTTTAATGCATTATCTGCTGTGCCCTTGCACATACCCCACAGCACATGACAACAGGACTTGCCCTTTTCTTCCACTATGTGCAGTTGTCTCTGGTTACCAGGAAGCCTCGGGGCACCTCTGACAGCCTACCTGGTAGAGCTTCGTGTGCAGGGAGCCACTGAACTGCATGTATTGCACCAGGTAGGAGCGCTGGCCCTCGTAGGGTGTGATGATGCCAATCTGGTCAGGCTTGGCACCTGCCTTCAGCAGCTTTGTAGTTATCTTCTCCACATTAGCTGCCTCGGTCCTGAGAACATCCAGCTTTCAGTGACAGGCTCCCTACAGCCGTCCTCAGCCTGGTGCGATTTCAAGCAACCAGGGGGAACTAGAGAGCATGTGATAGTCACCCACGCCTTCCCTTCACTGACAAGTACAGCAACCCAGGGAATGAGATGCTACGGTGGCCCCACGCACAGGTCGAGGCTGCACACCTGTTGAGGTAGGACGTGCCAGAGCTGGCAATCTCCTCCTGGCCCTGTGTCACGTAGAAGAACATGGGCTTGTCCGGCTGTGGCCACTGGAAATCAAAGCCCTTCTTGACACGATCCGCTGTGTCGGGGAAGACAGAAGCGTCACTGCTGAGAAGCACCAGGGCTCTAAGTGCACAGACACTAAGGAAAGTGAGGTCACCGCGCCAGTGGTACTGTCTCCAGGGCTCCCGAGCCAGAAGAGGGCAGCCAAGGGACCAGGCTAACACTGTTTAAGGCATCACTAGGAACAGGAGACATTCTTAGTCCCCTAGAAGCTACACCACTGCAATTTAGGGGACCCAGAGCTGCCATGACAGTGGGACCAGTGAGCAGCACCTGTCACAAACAAGTTGTCTATAGACCCTCATCCTCACATCAATCCTGGGCCTACCAATCAATACTCTGCTGACCTAGGCGTCACACTGCACCCCCTGGCTGCCACTATTCTAGGTTTATTCAGGCTTCCCACTGTGCAGATCCTCACATCCTAGAGGCTAAATCCACTCCTACCAGCTTAACCCTTACCAGGGACCTTCCTCCCAAGGGTCCAATGTGTCATAGCCCATCACTAGTGAAGGAAGTTGGCACCGGGGGGCACCTTGCCCTAGGGCCTCCAGTGTACCAGGGGAGTACAGCATGGTCCTTTGAACTTGTCAATGGAGTTTGGGGCCTAACAGCCACCCATAGAGGCACACACAACCTAGGTGGGGCAGGCCATGGTCCCACAGGAGCTCTGGTGCCCACCAGGCAGGGTCTGTCCTGGTACAGCGTAGCCAGGGACATGCAGGCCTCTCCCAGCATTTCAACTGTGACACCTGAGTCATAAGGAGCAGCAGAGAACAGGAAACTCCAGGGACTGCTCCCATACTTGGGCAGCAGCACAGGTCACAGCTGGCGGAGCAGTGGCCTCCCTGCCTGCGGCTGCTGGGATTCCCATGCCACATGGCAAAGATCTGATCAGCACCATCCCTGTCTGAATTCATCAAACTCAGGCACTCAAATCCACATGGACTCACTGAGAAATAAACCCACTGCTGAAGCTGTGTGTGTGTTGAGATGGGTCTCACTATGTAGCCCTGGCTGGCCTTGACCTATGCTTCCTGAGTGCAGGGATTAAAGATGCTATAAATTTTTATGAGAAATAACTTTATACTGCTAAAATCAGACAGCGGCCTTTTCTTCCTCATGGTCCACAGTCAGACTGCATGGAGGACAGCTGGGCCCAGAGCCAGTGTAGAAGAGAACTCTCCGGCAGGAAACCTGCCATAGCAGACCAATTGTGTGGTCACCACATACACTGTCCCAAAGTGCTGGTGTGAGTTAGGGAGGCCCAACTGTTACCTGCAGTGACACCGTTCTGCAATGAGCCCTCGTAGAAGATGTTGGACGGGAAGGCGCTGAGTGCGGGGTGCATGCGGTACTGCACCTGCAGGC